TTTTGATACAATTATAATTTTGCAGTTGGTAAAACATCCTTGTATTATCCTATAATTTGACGTACTCTACTAATTGTTGCTATTTTGGTACCTGAACTTAGTTGACGTACTTTTCTCGTTGTTTATGTTACTTTTTTTATGTTTGCAATTTCAATTTTCGCTAATTATTAAGTAGGACAGTTTAAAAAATAAGACAATTACTAGTTTTACACGTTTGCTCCTTAAAGTATAATATTATGCGCTGTGTTTTACGCATATTGTTTGCTAACTAGTGCAACGAGCGATGTAATGAACCAAACAAAGTCGGCAGTTTCACTGAACGTTGTAAAATTCAATTTCATGTTATTTGCTTTTTGGTATTTGCTGTTTACAACATAAAAGATGGAGGTATGTATTTGTTGAATAACTTCGTGTTTGTTGTCTGTAGTAAATTTACCATTTGCTAAATGGTAAAACATGAACATAAGCTAATAAAAACATAAAAATAAGCTAATCAAAATTTACCATTTGCTAAATTTTTCATTTCATTATAAATGGTAAAACATCAACATAAGCTAATAAAAAATAAACAAAACAAAAAAAAATTCAAAAATAGTAGCATGAAAATGATAGCACAAGTTCTTAAATGAAACATAAAAAGCATAACCAAAAATCATCACCCCTAAGAATACATCGGATTTGTACAAGACTTCTTGTTGTGTTTACCGAGTTCTTTACATCTCTCGCATCTTATTTTCCTCTTTATCTTCTCGCCAATAAACGGTATCCTCTTCTTCTTTGGTCTACCACGACGTGTTTAAAATTCAGGAGAGCAAACACAATACATCATACCTGAACACCAATTTTGTGGAGAACGATAAACTGCAAACAATATTGAACGGAAATTAAGTTGTAAAAACGACAATTAATAAATCGAAAATTCAAAACAACAAACATCAATTGACAACCCTTTGCGTATAATTCAATTTCATGTTGATTGCATCCGACACTTCCTTCATCGATACCAATACATCATACATGAACACCAATTTTGTGGAGAACGATAAACTGCAAACAATATTGAACGAAAATTAAGTTGTAAAAACGACAATTAATAAATCAAAAATTCAAAACAACAAACATCAATTGACAACCCTTTGCGTATAATTCAATTTCATGTTGATTGCATCCGACACTTTCTTCATCGATACCAATACATCATACTTGAACATCAATTTTGTGGAGAACGATAAACTGCAAACAATATTGAACGAAAATTAAGTTGTAAAAACGACAATCAATAAATCAAAAATTCAAAACAACAAACATCAATTGACAACCCTTTGCGTATAATTCAATTTCATGTTGATTGCATCCAACACTTTCTTCACCGATACCAATACATCATACTTGAACACCAATTTTATGGAGAACGATAAACTGCAAACAATATTGAACGAAAATTAAGTTGTAAAAACAACGATTAATAAATCGAAAATTCAAAACAACAAACATCAATTGACAAACCTTTGCGTATAATTCAATTTCATGTTGATTGCATCCGACACTTTCTTCACCGATACCAATACATCCTACCTGAACACCAATTTTGTGGAGAACGATAAACTGCAAACAATATTGAACGAAAATTAAGTTGTAAAAACGACGATTAATAAATCGAAAATTCAAAACAACAAACATCAATCGACAAACCTTTGCGTATAATTCAATTTCATGTTGATTGCAGGCCAAAAAAAAAGGATTCACTAATTATCAACACCGACTCTCGCGTTTAATTGTAATACGATGGTATTAGTTTCTCGAACTCTTCATGATGATCTCATATTTCACTTGAATCGACTAAGATCTGTTTTCCAAGCGTCTTACACGATACTCTGCCTTCAATCGTGATTAGTGGGATTTGATTTCCCAACTTAACGTAAATAACTGAATCCCCTAAAATATGTTTATTCAATAAGGGTACTTATGTCTATATATTCTTTTTATTATTTAATTTATATTATTTTTTTATGTGAAAGGACCTAGGCCTATATTCATCTAGCAACTAGGACTTCTACCTATATAAGTCCAAAATAAGGGGTGTCTAGCAAATTTCCCCAATAATATTTAGTGGTATATGTATGACTATAACTTTGTTGAGAAAGAAAATATTTGAAATTAATATTAGGATAGTAGCATTTGATCTCTCTATGGTTACAAATTTTTATAGATGACTCTCTTGTGGTTGATAGGGGTAGCTTCCGTTAGTTTTTCCGTAAAAAATAAATATCCATTTCAAAGATCAACACACCATGTTTTTGCAGATGACGCCCTTGTAGTTTGACACGCGCAGTTAAGTTTGACAGAAAAGCTAATGAATCCTACCTCTATCAACCTTAAGTGAGTTATGTGTTGATATTACGAGCATAAGGGGATCATTGACAAATGTTTATAACAACATGGAATTTAAGTGCTATTTATCCTTAATATTATTCAGAATGATAAAATGTTAAAGACAATATTGAGACTTTAAATGGTTTGATCTAATTAAAATAACATTTTTCGTAATAAAATGATGTACAAATGTTAGTAGAATCATTTATATAAATAGAAATATTTTCTTTGTGTACATCAGATTATTGATATTTTAATTTTAAATTAAAAATAAATAAATAAATGTATTCATATCTTTGATTAGTATTATATTAAGGGTTAATGGCAAATAGGCCCATGACAAGGGCACTTAATTAAAAGAGGGACATCCAACTTTTTTGTCTTTCAAATAAATCCAGCCCATTCAAACTTATTTGCAAATAAAGAAAATCCCTTTATATATACCAAAATTACCCCCAATTCATTGAAACTCAATTCAACTTCAATTTCATGATTTACACCTCAATTTAGTCCAATTTTATCAATTAATCAATTTTAACCCTAATTTCAATTTTGACCCGCCACCACCGGAGACCGCCGGTCGCCACCGTTGACCGGCGTTGACTTTTTTTTTTTTTTTTTTTTTTTTTGAAAAACTTTTTTTTCCATAATTTTTTTTCCGGCCGGTCAACTGCCGTTGACTTTTTTTTTTTTTTTTATAATTTTGTTTTTTCTTAAAAAAATGTTTTAATTAATATTATTGTCATGGCTGCTAAATTACTGTCTCCGGCAGTTATTTAACTGTCGGAGACAGATAACTGCCGGAGACAGTAATTTAACTGTAAATTGACTTTTTTTTTCTTCAAAAATATTTTAATTAATATTATTGTCTTTGCTACTAAATTACTGTCTCCAGCAGTTATTTGATTGTCGGAGACAGTAATTTAACTGTTAATTGATTTTTTTTTAAATATTTTAATTAATATTACCGTATTCGTTGCTAAATTACTGTCTCCAACAGTTATTTAACTGTTAGAGACAGTAATTTAACTGTTAATTGACTTTGTTTATTCTTAAAAAAAATATTTTTAATTAATATTACTGTATTCGTTGCTAAATTACTGTCTCCGGCAGTTATTTAACTGTCGGAGACAATAATTTAACTGTTAATTGACTTTTTTTCTTTTTAATTTTTTTCTTAAAGAAATTTATTTTAATTAATATTACTGCCTTGGCTGCTAAATTACTGTATCCAACAGTAATTTAACTGTCTTAGACAATAATATTAATAATATTACTGTTCGGGAAAATAATATTCATAATATTACTGTCCCAAACAGTAATATTACTGTCTGAGATAGTAATTTAGTAGTCAAGATAGTAATATTAATTAAAATAGTTTTTTTCTAAGAAAAAAAAGTTTTAAAAAAAAAAAAAAAAAAAATCAACGCCGGAGAGCGGCGGTCAACAGTGGTTGACCGGCCGGAAAAAAAATTTCAGGAAAAAAAAAAGTCAACGCCGGAGACCGGCGGTCAACGCTGGAATCTGGCCGGAAAAAAAAAACATTTCAGAAAAAAAATAATTTTCTGAAAAAAATAAATTTTGGGGGTTAATGTGATATATTTGTTTAAATTCGGGGTCAATGTGTAATATTAAAGAAGTTAGAGCATAATGGGTGGAATTGATAAGAATTATATTATGAATGAAATTTTAGACTAAAGACATGGGGATGGGTTTAATTGAGAGACTGTTTTTTTTTTTGTGGACTAAAATGCATTTAAGTCCCATGTGATGAACATTTTTGTCATTAGCCCATATTAAATTATAATAAATTTCTGACAAGTTCTTAGAAATTTGAATCACAAGTTAATAGGTTTTGAAAAGTATGCTCCCGCGATGGTATGAGGTTTAAATTAGTAGCTTACTGATTAATTTCATTTTTGAGTTGGTTTATGGTCGTACCGTGAAATCTAAAATATGGAACTTTTAAATTGAATTCACACTATTTACTTAAAATATTTTAATATTTTCTTTGTAATATTAAATTATGATAAATATAAAAAATTCAAAATATATATAAAAAAAATTAACTAGACACATGCAAACGTGCACCTACCTAGTAAGATAAAAGAGGAGAATAGTAATTTATTATTAAATAGATGCATGCAAAATATACCGTTTTTTTAATATTAAATAAAGTTATATTAAAATGGAGCAACTCCAATGGGAGATATCAAAATGGAGCATTAAATATTCATTTGATACTTGATATAATACTTTGATACTTCTTGAAAAAAAATTCACTCCAACCACGAGTATCAAATAGATTATCAAATTTTAAATATATGAATAATTATTTTTGTAAATGCCACGTGTCAAATTGTGATAGGTTAAGGGAGTGGTTATATTTTTGATACCTCATTTTCCAGGGAGTATTTTTGCACCTCGGGGTGGTTGAGTATCAAAATAATTCCCCATTTAATGCTTCCGTTGGAGAAGGATTTTTTTATTTTAGAGCATCAAAGTGGTAGTTTTTTAGTTTGATACCTCATTTAGTGCCTCCATTGGAGTTGCTCTAACATCACATGTACATTTTCTATTATATTTATAATCTACAATAATATATATTGGAGATGCAAAGCCAAACAGTATTAAACTAAGAATCTATAAATAAATTATAAAATCATTGAATTGATGCAAATAGCAACAAATCTTCCATTCTGTTTTGATAATAAAGTATTCCATAAAACGAAATAAAATCCAATCCAAATAAAATAAATCTAATGAACTAAATTTCATGATCCATCAATTCAGCTATTCACCAAATGAAACTAAAAAATAAAAATAAAAAATCCCTACAAAAAGAATTTTAATTAAATCCCTGCTGGCAAAAAATAAAAAATAAACAAATCGTCGACTACGTCTATGCATTGTTCAACTGTTGATGTTTACGCTGAAGGTTTGCTCTCTTGAGCTCCATGAACTTGGCAGCTAGTTCGTCGTAATCCGGTAGCTTCGGGTGTATATGTTTACACGACGAGTTTGATAATTCAAACGGATACGATTTTGATCTGTAAATGTTGTCTGCTGGAATAACACTACTCTGTTTCGGCCTTTCAACTGGCAGAGTCAAACCCCGTAACCGAGGTACCTCAATCAATTCTCGTTTCCCGTTATTTCCTCGTTCATTCGTGTGAGAATACTTACACAATTGTAGACCTCCGTTTTCATCCTCTCTCTCGTTTTCATCTCTACAATGATACAAGTAACCATCTGACTTTTGGCTTTCGCGCAATAAAATCTTGCTCCTGATCTTGTTTGATACGCCGTAGTACGTTGCGCTTTCAATATCTGCGATATTATGATTTTCTCGGGATAACGAACTTCTTCTTGTTCTTGCTTTTGTGCTTGCTTTTTTCTTTCTTGATATCAATTCCTCTTGGTAAAGCCTTTGTTCCTCGATTCCGTAATCTGTTTTCTCCTTTAAGCCAATCCCGAATGATTTGAACACGAATAATCTCTGGTCTTGGAGATTCCCATCTTTGCTCACAGGTGAAATAAACTCCTCAATATCATCGAGGTACACTATTTCCCGATCAGGCAATTCGACTGAACTTTCCGAACTAGACTCATTGCATTCTGCAGACATTATACGTTCTTGCGTATGAAGATCGGAAACTTGGATTGGAGTCGAAAGAACGAGCTCTTTTCCCAGTGCAAGAGATTCTTCTTTCATCGGTTTTGTATACGAATCCGTATACGTAATATTGCCGTGTGCCTCTCTCTCGATATAAAGCTCAACTTCACCTTTGGTTGCTTTCTCGAGAGACTATACATTGTAGGTGAGTTAGTTGAGATAGGTGAGATTATTAAAAAAAAAAAAAGAGAGAGAGGATGAAAAATTGTGTAAGACGAATGCACGCGCGACAAATTACCTGATCTTCTTGCAACTCGGGTTTGTACTCGAGGAACAATGGTCCAGCATGCTGAACGAAACTACGACCTATTTCATCCAGTAATTTGTATTTAGCATCATCAGACACCTTTTTAATGTAAAGCTTCTCTTTTATCTGCCAAAATCATGAAACCAAGTACACTCCTCAATCAATATTCAAATATTAAAACTTTGATATTGATGCTAATATTCGAAATATTAAACCTGACTATTCACAAGATTTCCGGGAAGTAATTCGATTGCGGTCGTTACGAATTTGTCACCGTAACGCTCTCCAAACAGCTTACGAATAGATACAAGCTCGGGCAACTGTCCGAATCTTGCTGATGAGAAGATCAGAGTTGATATTGCTTCATTAATATCATTCGGGCAGTTCCTTACAAAGTTAAAAACATTAATTATTCAAGTTTCATAAACATAACTGTATTTTCATAGAGAGAGAGAGAGAGAGAGAGAGAGAGAGAGAGAGAGAGAGAGAGAGTGAGAGGAATACCTGTGCTTACGAATATAACGAAAATTAAGAAGTATAAATTCAGAAAAGTGGTGGAGAAGATCATATATTTGAACCCAACTCTCATCCATGATAACCTGCTCAGCCTGAATAAAAGTTTGAAAAACAAAAACTTATATATATCATATACATACATATATGATGTATACACGCACGCACACGCACAGTAGAAAGAACGATGAACGCGTATTACCCTTTCGAAGGCGGTAAGATGGTGTCCGTGTTTGAGAAGCTCAGAGACATCTTCTCTCAAGTGATTCACAATACAAACCCTTTTGTTCTTCAGAAGCTTCAGCCGGCATTGCACCTTTCTTACAAGTTTCTTACTGTACGTTGACAACAAACAATTATTACAACATAAGTTCAGACAGACATCGATCATCACTTGATTCAAGAATCAGAAAGAAAGAAAAAAGATTATATTGTACACCATTTTGAAGCTTTTCTCCATCCAAACAGTATCTCAAACATTATAATTTCAGTTGATTTCTTGCTATTCTTGGTAAACCAAACACTTGATTATTGTAATAAAGGGGCATGTGTGATGTTTTTTCTCTTTTTAGCTACGCTGCTGCAGAGGATTTTAAAAAATAATAATAATATAATCTTTATATATATATATATAAAAGAAATGTTTTACCTAAAAAAACAGTTTTTTTCTTGAAACATAAATCCCTTTGTTTTCTCCTTTCTTTTCTCCACATCAAGACACGTTTGTTTTTATTTTTATATAATTATAATTATTTTCTTTAAAAACAAATCCCTTTCTTTTCTCCTTTTTTTCCTCCTCTTCAAGACACGTTTGTTTTTATATAATTATTTTTAATACTTTTCTGCACGATCTTCCTCTTTCATCGTATTATGGGAAATGTTTTAATAGCACGTTTTTTTTTTTCTTTTTTTTTATACAATTTATTATATTTGTTTTTTCTTATTTTATCCTCTTTTCTCCTCTTTTATATCTTACATTTGAAATAGTTCTTATTGCACGTTTCTAATCCTTTTCTTATATAATTATTATTATTTCTTTCGTTTTTTCTTTTTTTTTTTATTTTTTTTTTTTTTTGGTTTTCCACTCAACGTCATCTTCAACTTCTTTTCTTAACTTTCCCACTTTTCTCCATCTCAACCCCATAAATTTCTCTATATATACATATTACCAAGAACATCGAAGAACACTATAGTTGTATAGAAATTATTATTATTACTAGTAATCGATACCCGTGCGATGCACGGGAAATACGGAAAAAATCGCTGATTACATTAGAAAAGTAGATATATCCGTACAGTTTCAATCAAAACAATATAACACAAACGCAATATTCATCTCTGAAAAACAGATTTGAGGCAAATAAATCTCTTCAATTTTCTTGAATAATTCAAAACCTAGTGATATACTGCTATCTCTTCAATTTTCGTGAATCATTCATCGAAATCTCTCACATGCCAAACAAACTAAATTAAAAGAGCATATACTGCTATATATTACCAATAAATTAGTATACAAACACAGTTTCAGCAATCAAATACATCTTAATTCAGAACACGATTAGCACTGGAATCATCGATCATATGCTTCAATGGTATAAATATAACCCATGGTAAAGATACGGTCAACTAAATACATTTATGCATATGTATGTCTTGAAAATGAGGCGAGAATTGTCCACGGATAAATTCGTAACACCGTACACTTCAAATTAGATCCTCAATACCTCGTGAAATGACTACATATTAAATTATTTTTCCTAAGAAACTGTAAGGAATTCAAATGGTAGCATGTTATGAGCATCTTTAAAACGTGAACAAAGATCGATCATATCGAATAATGATATTATCATAACTTGGAGTTTTATGTTAAACTGGAATATAAAAAATTAAAATAGTACCTTCTTTAAGATGGAAACTCCGGGGTAAAACAGAACCATGGCGAGCAAAAACCCGACAAAAGGAAACATCTGTTACAAAAACATAAGAATGGGTATCATAAAGGTTAGATCTTTATTTCTTGATTATTGATTCAATTTCGTAGAAAATGAAAGAACCCAATGTACACATCTTGAAGTTCTAGATTATCCAGGCTGAATGAATGGGGAATTGTTGAGAATCCGTGAATAAGTGATTTTAAACAACTATTTTGAAGACGACAATAACCGAAAACGAAGTGTTAATGAGAGATAAGCGAAAACGACAATAACCATTTTGAAGTTTCAAACAACTATTTTTTTTCCAAACAACATACAAAAGGTGGGAATTCAGAAAGTAATGAATGATGAACTAATTTTAGAAAAACAAGGACAAAAAATGTACAAAAATCAGATTTTTTTTCTTCAAATTCATACCGCAAATGCCACTGCCACAACATCTCATCCAATTTCTTCAAATTCAACCCGTGTAATCTCATGTCTAATGATCCAATTCGCTTGGTTCATTAGAAATAACAACCATATCACTACGATGATAGTATCAAAAGATTTATAACAATAGCTTGATAGAATATTGTGAAGGAAACAGGAAGGAACAAAACTTTTCAACTGTTCAATTTCTCGACGAATCCAACACAAAACATAAAGGAAACGATAATTAGATAAATAATCAAATAATTGCTTGGGCTTCTTCTATCTCTAGTAATATTTCTTGCCTATCGCTATCAAATAAAAAAAATATAAAATAAAAGCCTCCGACCATAGCTACAAATCCAAACTCCAAATGGAGTCCTATGTAAGTCGCAAATAAAAATCCACTTTACATCCCCAAATCCCAACAATTATTATAAATGTTTACGGAGAAAAGGGAAGCAATGAGTTGAATCTGTAATCTGTTCATTTTCTCCATCTGTTTGTGAGAGGAAATATTTGCTAGACAATTAATACGTGAAAGAAAGTTAACAGGAATTAATTAAAAAGAAAAATCGATTGCTGGCTGCAGCAGTTACTCACGTGTATTCAGCTTTTTTTAACTGAAATGTTAATTGTAGCGGGACTTTTACTGAAATTGACATATTTGCAGCGGTAGTCTCATTTGTCAATTTTCTAACTTTCTAATTATTTGAGAATGGCAAAGATTAGTACAAAATTTCATAGGTTCATCCTCCGATTGAACCCACATTCCAATTCTGACTCCATTCACTATACCAAACTGTTGAATAAGTTTTGGAAGAGCCAATATGCATATAAACTGTACGGCATCACAAATAATGGTGCAACTTAATTAACTAATAGTGTAACGCATATAGAAAAACAAAACAAACATTCCATTTCATCTTCATAAAATCCACGTGGAAAAAAACTGAAGCAAACACAAATATGATAGAAATTAACATCCGATTGATGATATGCACACAATTCAGCATGAATAAAATTCACAATCATTAATCCACAACTGAAATCAAAATCATCTTTCTCAACAATTACATATTTAGGAGTAGAGAATTAAACAGAATCCATGCAATCTTTACTTTCGCCGAACAACAAACTCTCTTGCATTCAACTTGCTGGATGAAACCTAATGAAGAAAATAGGTCCTAGTAGAAATATATATGTCTATATTATTTTAGGCACAAAGAATTTATGATAGCAAACACCTAACAGCTTTTATAACCTTATAGATGAAACTTGAAAGGCGTTCATTCCATTAAATTAGCTCTATGTTCAATGAGTCGTAAACAAAATGAATTCATGTCAGCCATATAATTTCTGATCAATACAATTAAATGATCAATAAGATTTAAATGATCCATGAAAAGGTCGAAAGAAATTCTTACTTTTGACGGAGGAGTTAACCCATTGGTGATTGTCGTTATCCATGTTTGCGCACATTTAAACCCTCGTGCTTTGAGCTTTATACGGAGAAGGCCACTGCTTCGGCGGCGAAGAGTTTGAACAAATACTTGTTTTGTTAAATTCTAGTCATTGAACTTGAAAATATATATATATATATATGTATTAGGCAGTAATTTGTAATTTAATAGTCAAACTGTTTAATCATTGATATTACCCCTTCAGACATATTAAATCAAACATCTTATAGGCATCCATCACCAAGTTAGCAGCTCTACAACTACCCAAAATCAAACAAGTGCAAAATAAAAACATTGAATTTCACAAAAGAAATCAAAAGCGAGCTATAATAAGGATAAATAACAATGGATATATAAGTACGCAATTAAGCGAATCAATTATTCAGAAAGAATGATAGCTTACAGGGAAATCGAGAGACGTGAGAACAACGGCGTCTGGGATAGGAAACCCCTCTAACGGAGGTGCACAACAGCTTTTTTCTGTCGGCGGTAGAGAGAGAGAGAGAGAGAGAGAGAGGGAGGGAGGGTATGAGAAGCAGCTGAAACGAAAAGGAGAAAGTAAAAAAGATTCAACGGGATAAATACTATGAAACCACGTCGTTTTACAGGAGTTGTGACAAAATAAAGGAAAAGAAAATAGGAGAGGTAATGATGAGAAGTTCCGCTCTTCATTTATATATCTATATATATATATATATATATATATATATATATATATATATATGAGAAACTAAATAATATTTTAATATCGTTCGCACTCTCCGTCTCTTTCACTACAGGGGTGGTTATTCTCTAGAAAACAGGATATCGTATATATCTATATACTTAATAAAATCTATACACTTATTATTGGTGTTATTATATTTTCTCCCTTCTTCTATCAATTGTTTCATTCCTTCGTATTTTCTCTGAGTTACTAATAGTTTGTACATTTGTTTGCCTTAATCGATTTCCTTGGTGGAGAATAGCCTGAAATATCTGTTGACTCCCTCTTGCCGGTCAGTGTTTTCTTAGCTGCTAACAATTTTAGTTTTTTTGCAGTTTCTTGAGGCTGTGTAGATGAATCTGTTTTTTTTTTTTTCTTTTGTGTGTGTGTAGGAGTTTTATTGTTTGTAATAGCTATTTTGTTAAAACATTGTCATTCTCATGATTGCCTTATTGTTTATCTACACATATATATCACTTTATTGTATCAACATTTTTTACTAGAGATATAACATTTTCCAACTACAACTTTGAAATAAATCTTTCTCTTTTTAATTTTAATCGAAGTATTTCATAATTCAAGGTCCCCCATTCTTTTTTATATGTCGATCTTTTAATTATTTTTTTCACATCATCTAATTTTTGTTCCCCTTCCACATTTTTCAGCTTTGTCCAGATGGAAATACACTTTTTGTATATGTTGTCGGCTTTCCACAACTACTTCTCCGTTATGCTTATCTGTCTCATTGCATTATTTTTATTTATCTTCATCAATGTTCGATTTTTTCGTTATGTTTCAAGTCAAAAAGAAATGCGTAACGTATCAAGCAACAATGAAGATGGTATTGTATGGATCAACTGCATTACTTATCGAGAAGATAATGAGCAAAAAATCTATTGCACTCAATGCAAAGAAACTGATTATCGATCAAGATTTTAAATTGACACCGAGTATGATCAATTCGATGATGTGTTTTCTCATGGTTGGGTATGTATGCTCTGCGCAATCGAACTAGCTAATTTTTATCCACTTAAATATGATATGTAAATTTTATTTCTTCTTAGGTTGTATTGTTCTTCTAAGTTCTTATAATATTTGTATTTACTTTAATATTATCATATCAACTTAATTCGATAAATTAGCTTCTGATTACACGACATGCAGTTAATTCATTACAAAATATTATCATACAACTTAATTATCTTAAAGATAAGAAACACCATTCAACTTGGCAACCTCCTGTATTCTAAAATTTATAAAATATTATAAGGTTGCAGATAAATTTTTAAATTTCAAGTTCTCAACAAAATTACATGACGGAAAAAATTAAAAAGTAACAAACAAACACCTCATAAGATGTAGATATTTTAACCTAATTGAAAATTCTTTTTAATTATGAAAACTATATTATTATAATTAATTCAATTGATTAGAATACAACTTTTGAAATTTCTATAATTAACGTAACATCTAAAGACTTAAATTACCAATCTTAATTCTTAATACGTTTAAAAAAACTGAAAAAGGGAATAAAGAAAAACAAATAAAATAAAATGAAATAACCGATCTAAAGGCTTAAATTACAAATCTTAATTCTTAATACGTTTAAAAAAAAACTGAAAAAGGGAATAAAAAAACAAAAAAAAAATGAAATAACCAACCGAACGTGTTCAAATAAAATTAGGAAAAAGATGGAAAATAAAACTTCCCAAACGTGTGCTAAATAGATGGAGAAAAAGAAGAGGATAAAGAAAGAAAAAAAAAATAGTGATTCAATTATTTTGACCACCCTTCACATGATGAAAAACCGTCCACTTCGACCTTTATTTTAGACACTACTTTCTATCTACAACCGTCCATTTCCAACATACGCACTATCTACCACTCTATAAATACAAGTTCAACACTTCCAAATCATTGGCCCGATAATTCTTAATTCGTAAACATTGTTATTATTCTCATTATGCTCCAAAGTTTACATGCATAGCTGATATTAGAGTTGGGGAAATTGAGTGGAAATTCATTGCCCGCATCATGATTATGCGGCTTGTTTCCCGTTCCAATGGTTCAAAGGAACCATATACCATAGAGATGGTGTTAATGGATGACAAGGTGATTCTTAAATTTTACATATATTTTTCATTATTTTACGAAGAATAAATGTATACTTGTATAATAACGTCTTCTAATTATGACAGGGAGGGAAGATACAAGCTTCGGTCACACAAAAACACTTCAACAAGTTTAAAAAAAATTTGAAAGAAGGAAAAACTTACATGTTCTGTAATGTTTTGGTTGCTCAAAATGATTCCACTAACCGTGCTACGCTACATATGAATAAAATTACCTTTGTAGGCGCTACCACGGTCACCGAGTTTGCTGCCAACATGATCCCTACCCTGAGCCCTTTATGAGTTTCAGCAAGATCATAAATGGTGCAGATGAAAGTTTGCTCATATGTAATCAAAAACAGTACTCTTGCATTAGTTAAATAAATATTTTTTTAACATTTCACCATATTTTGTAACGTGTTCTTTGATATATAAATATGTTTTTTTTTTTTTTTGGTTTTTAAGATATCGTTGGTCATGTTATTGAAAAAACCAATGAAGGACGTATCGATAAATGGAAGGAAAGACAACCTAATGTAAGTGGTTCTTCAGGATTTAGAGTATGTATTTTCTTTTTTGGTTTAATATTTTTGTAATTTTGTATCCATGTATATTAACAACATCATATTGGACAAAAATATTTTGTACATTTTTAGAGGCAACCCTCTTAAATGTGCACTGTGGAACAATTATGTTGATGATTTCGAAAGTTTTCTAGCCAAACATGATGCACAGTCTCCCGTTATTGTTATTTTACAACCGTGTCAAATAAAGAGCTTTAAAGGTAAATTATTATTTTTAAAATTTATTAATTACTACAATATATATCCACTTTCCACATATTATTTTCATTATTATTCTTTATTACTTATTAGTCAAAGATGTTATTTTTATGTCCTAAATGATTTTATATATCCCGAATTTTGAAAGGAGATATGGCATTCACCCGGTCGATAAGCATATCAAGTAAAGATTCTAAGTCTACGTTTGCTATCATTCACTATCATCAATTACATGTGTTATTATTTTCGAACAACAAATTAATTGTATATCGATACTGCAGGAATGTGATGTATTGTTGGTTGCAAAGCTCGTCAAAATAGATTCCGATAAGAATTGGTGGTACGTATCATGCGGAAAATGTTGCAAAAAGGTTCAACCAGCTGGAGTGAAGTACTCCTGCGACAAATGTGATAAATATATCGTTGTTGTTCCAAGGTATTTTTCACATACGTTTGACTCAACACAAAAAAATTAATTAATAATTTATAATTTTACAAATACACACACACACACACACACACATATATATATATATATATATATATATATATATATATATATATATATATATATATATATATATATATATATATATATATATATATATATATATATATGTGTGTGTGTGTGTGTGTGTGTGTGTGTGTATATGTGTGTATATGTATGTGTGTGTGTATATGTGTGTGTATATATATATATATTTGTGTGTGTGTGTGTGTGTCGGTGTCTGTGTGTGTGTGTGTGTGTGTGTGTGAGAGAGGGTGTGTGTGTGTGTGTGAGGACGGGGGTAAGTAAGTCCCTATGGGAGTGGACACAAGAATTAACAATGTATATATATATATATATATATAT